CTGACCGCGTGAACTTGACCACCAATACCTTTACCTCACTGGCCCGACTAAGGGTCCACTCTGCCGCACCTTCGCGGGAAGGGACCTTCACGGCTCCAGTACCTGTACGTCCAACTTAGAACTCTTATTCCACCGCCATGTCACCATCACGGACGTGACCGGATCCCGGACCTTCCCAAACATCACCTTGTTGGGCCGCTGTCATCGGCCACCCTCCAAACTGGCAGCCTCAACCCGCCGACGCTATGCTACTGCAAGCTTCGCCTCAGGAAGAATGGAGTCGTATCTCAGCGGCTTGTTTGGGTATGCGGTCATCGCGCATATACCTGGGTGAGCCCCATATGTCGGATCCTGCTTTGTCGGGTACATCGTTCCCGGCATAAGAGTAGTGCCACATCTACCCCCTGGAAGACAGAGAAATAAAAGGGAAGAAAAACACGTCCGACTTATCCGATGTCGCTGCAAACGGGGAAACCGTGGGGTCGAGCACTCTTTCCTGCCTACGGAGCAGGATCAACCACGTCGACATCCTTCGGCTTACTGACATCCTCCTCAAATTCATGCAGAGAGGCAACTGAGATCACGGACTCCCTGATGTCAGAACTGTCTGAGGTGAGACAGCTAAGTTTACAGACGAGAATCGCTACGGACTTTCTGCTGTCTAGCCAAGGAGGAACGTGCGCCTTAATAGGTACCGATGCTGCACATATGTAACGGACCAGACTTTAAACATTACTGGACACTTGAATAACATCCACGAACTAGCAGGAGACTAAACGAGATACAACACGAGGGACTGTTCGACGTCGACTTGTGGGGATGGCTGCCAAGCTGGGGTGGCTCCGACAATTGACAAGGTCATATTGCTCACATTCTTACTGTTGCCTTTTGCATCTCAGTTCTCTGTTGTGCCATACATTGTGTCTCTCCTTGCTGCTCTCTTCTCCGCTTCCTGCTCAATCCGCTCCTCTTTCCTTCGAGCCTATTCCCGCTCCCACAACGCTCTGTCTTTCCTGAATATGTGCAAATGAGACATCTGGGAGAAGGGAGTATGAAATCACAGGGTATAGGGTGCGGAGAAAGGATTTGCAAGTTCCTACAGAACTTTGATGCAAATCTATCTCCGAACTCTAGAGACATTCGTCCTGACACCTCTTTGACCGGGGTATCTACGAAGTCACGAGGCGCCCGTCCTCCACAGATCGCTCTCTGGACTACTCGAGCTGCCATTACTACTGAAACATCTTCACTACTGCTCTATTTTCTCCAGCATATAGTACGTATTCTAATACACTTGCCTTTTCTCACGGGGATCTAACCGCCCCTGCACACGTGCGTGCGCCTTATTCTGTCATCTCGATTCGGGGCAACGGCCGCTCTTCCAGTACGCTCTTCTCGTTCATCGGCGCTGGTTTCAAATCTCTAGAATGGGGACTGATACGGAAGGAGAGGGGGGGCAACCATCTTCCCCTCCATCCGCATTCCGAATGGGCCCGAGGCGATGACCTCGACAGTGCCCAACTCTGCCTAGAACCCTCATCCCCCACACCGTTGCACAAGCACCACACTATACCCCTGCCTTGATAATAAAAGGCTCCTTTTCCTGTCTCTATACGGGCGAAATAAGCCCCGATCTTTCCTATGCCTTCCTCTCGCTCTATTCCTAACGTGAGTAGGACCGCTCATAATGGAACCCCCATCACTATACTGAGCCCCGCTTT